GATAAATCACCACAATTGCTTAGCACGATTTTATCTCAGGAACTATAAGAGTCAATGAGCTGAAATTTTCAGGGATTGTAGTCCTTTGAAAAGGATAATTTTCAGTGAAAGATTCAGCTTTCTATCTATAATAGAAAAAAAGTTATGACTTTTCAAAATTTTCCAAAAAAAATCATAAGGGGGGTACCTTCTTACTAAAACGATGAAATTTCAAATTTTTTTTTGTCGAGATTTTGTATCCTACTGGTCAATCAACATACCCCAAACTCCATACACAAAATTATTCCCAGATTTGAAGCCGAAATCTATGAAAAAAGGCACTCAGAAAAATTGAAAAATTGATAAATCACCACAATTGCTTAGCACGATTTTATCTCAGGAACTATAAGTGTCAATGAGCTGAAATTTTCAGGGATTGTAGTCCTTTGAAAAGGATAATTTTCAGTGAAAGATTCAGCTTTCTATCTATAATAGAAAAAAAAGTTATGACTTTTCAAAATTTTCCAAAAAAATCATAAGGGGGGTACCTTCTTACTAAAACGATGAAATTTCAAATTTTTTTTTGTCGAGATTTTGTGTCCTAATGGTCCCTCGTGATACCCTGAACTCCATAAACTAAATTATTCTCAGATTTGAAGCCAAAATCTATGAAAAAAGGCACTCAGAAAAATTGAATAATTGATAAATCACCACAATTGCTTAGCACGATTTTATCTCAGGAACTATAAGTGTCAATGAGCTGAAATTTTCAGGGATTGTAGTCCTTTGAAAAGGATAATTTTCAGTGAAAGATTCAGCTTTCTATCTATAATAGAAAAAAAGTTATGACCTTTCAAACTTTTCCAAAAATGTAAATCATAAGGGGGGTACCTTCTTACTAAAACGATGAAATTCAAATTTTTTTTTGTCGAGATTTTGTATCCTACTGGTCAATCAACATACCCCAAACTCCATACACAAAATTATTCCCAGATTTGAAGCCGAAATCTATGAAAAAAGGCACTCAGAAAAATTGAAAAATTGATAAATCACCACAATTGCTTAGCACGATTTTATCTCAGGAACTATAAGTGTCAATGAGCTGAAATTTTCAGGGATTGTAGTCCTTTGAAAAGGATAATTTTCAGTGAAAGATTCAGCTTTCTATCTATAATAGAAAAAAAGTTATGACTTTTCAAAATTTTCCAAAAAAATCATAAGGGGGGTACCTTCTTACTAAAAACGATGAAATTTCAAATTTTTTTTTGTCGAGATTTTGTATCCTACTGGTCAATCAACATACCCCAAACTCCATACACAAAATTATTCCCAGATTTGAAGCCGAAATCTATGAAAAAAGGCACTCAGAAAAATTGAAAAATTGATAAATCACCACAATTGCTTAGCACGATTTTATCTCAGGAACTATAAGTGTCAATGAGCTGAAATTTTCAGGGATTGTAGTCCTTTGAAAAGGATAATTTTCAGTGAAAGATTCAGCTTTCTATCTATAATAGAAAAAAAGTTATGACTTTTCAAAATTTTCCAAAAAAAATCATAAGGGGGGTACCTTCTTACTAAAACGATGAAATTTCAAATTTTTTTTTGTCGAGATTTTGTGTCCTAATGGTCCCTCGTGATACCCTGAACTCCATAAACTAAATTATTCTCAGATTTGAAGCCAAAATCTATGAAAAAAGGCACTCAGAAAAATTGAATAATTGATAAATCACCACAATTGCTTAGCACGATTTTATCTCAGGAACTATAAGAGTCAATGAGCTGAAATTTTCAGGGATTGTAGTCCTTTGAAAAGGATAATTTTCAGTGAAAGATTCAGCTTTCTATCTATAATAGAAAAAAAGTTATGACTTTTCAAAATTTTCCAAAAAAATCATAAGGGGGGTACCTTCTTACTAAAACGATGAAATTTCAAATTTTTTTTTGTCGAGATTTTGTGTCCTAATGGTCCCTCGTGATACCCTGAACTCCATAAACTAAATTATTCTCAGATTTGAAGCCAAAATCCATGAAAAAAGGCACTCAGAAAAATTGAATAATTGATAAATCACCACAATTGCTTAGCACGATTTTATCTCAGGAACTATAAGAGTCAATGAGCTGAAATTTTCAGGGATTGTAGTCCTTTGAAAAGGATAATTTTCAGTGAAAGATTCAGCTTTCTATCTATAATAGAAAAAAAAGTTATGACTTTTCAAAATTTTCCAAAAAAAATCATAAGGGGGGTACCTTCTTACTGAAACGATGAAATTTCAATTTTTTTTTTGTCGAGATTTTGTGTCCTAATGGTCCCTCGTGATACCCCCAACTCCATAAACTAAATTATTCTCAGATTTGAAGCCAAAATCCATGAAAAAAGGCACTCAGAAAAATTGAATAATTGATAAATCACCACAATTGCTTAGCACGATTTTATCTCAGGAACTATAAGAGTCAATGAGCTGAAATTTTCAGGGATTGTAGTCCTTTGAAAAGGATAATTTTCAGTGAAAGATTCAGCTTTCTATCTATAATAGAAAAAAAGTTATGACTTTTCAAAATTTTCCAAAAAAATCATAAGGGGGGTAGTACCTTCTTACTAAAACGATGAAATTTCAATTTTTTTTTTGTCGAGATTTTGTGTCCTAATGGTCCCTCGTGATACCCTGAACTCCATAAACTAAATTATTCTCAGATTTGAAGCCAAAATCCATGAAAAAAGGCACTCAGAAAAATTGAATAATTGATTAAATCACCACAATTGCTTAGCACGATTTTATCTCAGGAACTATAAGAGTCAATGAGCTGAAATTTTCAGGGATTGTAGTCCTTTGAAAAGGATAATTTTCAGTGAAAGATTCAGCTTTCTATCTATAATAGAAAAAAAGTTATGACTTTTCAAAATTTTCCAAAAAAATCATAAGGGGGGGTACCTTCTTACTAAAACGATGAAATTTCAAATTTTTTTTTGTCGAGATTTTGTGTCCTAATGGTCCCTCGTGATACCCTGAACTCCATAAACTAAATTATTCTCAGATTTGAAGCCAAAATCCATGAAAAAAGGCACTCAGAAAAATTGAATAATTGATAAATCACCACAATTGCTTAGCACGATTTTATCTCAGGAACTATAAGAGTCAATGAGCTGAAATTTTCAGGGATTGTAGTCCTTTGAAAAGGATAATTTTCAGTGAAAGATTCAGCTTTCTATCTATAATAGAAAAAAAAGTTATGACTTTTCAAAATTTTCCAAAAAAATCATAAGGGGGGTACCTTCTTACTAAAACGATGAAATTTCAAATTTTTTTTTGTCGAGATTTTGTATCCTAACTGGTCAATCAACATACCCCAAACTCCATACACAAAATTATTCCCAGATTTGAAGCCGAAATCTATGAAAAAAGGCACTCAGAAAAATTGAAAAATTGATAAATCACCACAATTGCTTAGCACGATTTTATCTCAGGAACTATAAGTGTCAATGAGCTGAAATTTTCAGGGATTGTAGTCCTTTGAAAAGGATAATTTTCAGTGAAAGATTCAGCTTTCTATCTATAATAGAAAAAAAGTTATGACCTTTCAAACTTTTCCAAAATGTAAATCATAAGGGGGGTACCTTCTTACTAAAACGATGAAATTTCAAATTTTTTTTTGTCGAGATTTTGTATCCTACTGGTCAATCAACATACCCCAAACTCCATACACAAAATTATTCCCAGATTTGAAGCCGAAATCTATGAAAAAAGGCACTCAGAAAAATTGAAAAATTGATAAATCACCACAATTGCTTAGCACGATTTTATCTCAGGAACTATAAGTGTCAATGAGCTGAAATTTTCAGGGATTGTAGTCCTTTGAAAAGGATAATTTTCAGTGAAAGATTCAGCTTTCTATCTATAATAGAAAAAAAGTTATGACTTTTCAAAATTTTCCAAAAAAATCATAAGGGGGGTACCTTCCTACTAAAACGATGAAATTTCAAATTTTTTTTTGTCGAGATTTTGTGTCCTAATGGTCCCTCGTGATACCCTGAACTCCATAAACTAAATTATTCTCAGATTTGAAGCCAAAATCTATGAAAAAAGGCACTCAGAAAAATTGAATAATTGATAAATCACCACAATTGCTTAGCACGATTTTATCTCAGGAACTATAAGTGTCAATGAGCTGAAATTTTCAGGGGATTGTAGTCCTTTGAAAAGGATAATTTTCAGTGAAAGATTCAGCTTTCTATCTATAATATGACTTTTCAAAATTTTCCAAAAAAATCATAAGGGGGGTACCTTCCTACCAAAACGATGAAATTTCAAATTTTTTTTTGTCGAGATTTTGTGTCCTAATGGTCAATCAACATACCCCAAACTCCATAAACAAAATTATTCCCAGATTTGAAGCCGAAATCTATGAAAAAATGCACTCAGAAAAATTGAAAAATTGATAAATTATCCCAAATTGCTTAACACGATTTTATCCCAGGAACTATAAGTGCAAATGAGCTGAAATTTTCAGGGATTTGTAGTCCCTTGATTGGAATAAAATTAAGTGAAAAATTTGCCCAAATGCATTTTCAGTTAAAAACGCATGAGTGCCAAAATTATAAATGTATTTTCAAAAACCCATAGCTTACTGCCAATATTGAAGGTGGATTTTTGTGTATGCCAACCCTGCAAAAGATGAATGTGGAGCCCAAAATCTTGAGACATATTCAAGAGCCGAGAATAAACAAAAATTGAATTGAGATGGAAAAAAATGCAAAATACAGAGAAAAATTAAGATAAAACTGGTAGATAAGTGAATATTCATATTTTTCTATTTCAGGCTTTTGTTTCAAGACAAAAATTGAGAAAAGAAGAAAAATTGGAGCACAAAGTTTAAATTATGAAAAAAAAAAAACGAGCACTACAAGCAATGAACACACTTTTTAATTTGAAAAGTTGTTGGTATTTCAAAGGAAAATGAGAGAAGATTACATTTTGAAAGATAGACGTTCGATAAATGAAACTTTGTGGACAAGTTTTTACCTTGCTGAGTTTTAACGTGCACGGGAGCACTGAGAGGTCCTGGACCAACCGAAGTAAAAGCCTGCACTCGTATCGTGTAGATGGTATGAGGCGTCAGCTCGCTAATCGTAGTAAGCTGATTATTGTCAACAACTTGGGCTTCCCATTGGGCCATCGGTAGCTGGGAATTGGTGGTGTAGTAGACTTTGTAGCCCTGCAAAATTTGAAAAAAAATTGCAACAAAGTTTTTAAAAAAATTGTATGACTTACCGTTACTTGTCCGTTTGGTGTTTCCGGTTCGTCCCACTGAATAACCATCGTGCTCGAGCTGAGAGGCCGCACTTGGACATTTCGCGGAGCAGTTCCAGGTTCTGAAATTAAAAAGAAAACCATGTAATTCATAAACTCCTAAAATCAAACTAGTTGTACTTACTGGCACCTCCAAAAGAAATGTTGCCTGCAAGATTAGAGAATAACTGTTAGTGAATCGGATAAAGATTGTTTATTATTAAGGAAACATGCCATTTTAAAAAAAAAGGTGCTGGAAACTAGAAAACTATAGGTGGGTGTCCAATATACAAAACTGTCCCTATATAAACTTACATTAATTGACAATAAATCAGAAAATTTCCAAGTGGTTGCATGAAAAAATGTTAATATAAAAGTAGTATGTAGTACATATTTTGATTAGTCCTATACCACTAAAATTGGTTGAAGTCTTACCAGTTTCTCCAGTAGTTACTACAGCAGGAGCGCTAGGAGGTCCTCGTCCAATATTATTAACAGCGATCACGTACATTTCATATTCGGTGTAGGGACTCAAATTCCTCACGGAATAGTACATGGTGATGATGCCGCTGATTTCGCTGTAAGCCTGATTAGCGTATTTCGGTTTGAATTGGATGACGTAGTATTGCAAGTCTTCTGGTCCGGTGTAAGACCAAGTTAGTCTCACCGATGTAGCAGTGATTTCTGATACTCGGACGTTTGTTGGTGGTCCTGGTAATGCTGAAAATTCGAGTGAGAAAGGGAAGCTCAGAATTTGAATGAAACACGAGTTAAATTGGATGATATTTTTGAGGGTGAATATGAAGTCTTGGAATTGGAATCAAGAGTCAGGAATAGTTTAAATTTTTATTATTATTTTGAACCTCAAATACAATATTAATTATTTTTTCCACTACCGTGCGTAAAGTACTCATTTTACGCACTTTTCAGAAGACGTAAAATTTCACTTCACACACTAGTGCGTAAAGTAATGTCAATGACAGATGTCGTCACTGTCAATTTAGTATTTTTCTGGTAAATTACTCTTTCACGCACTAGTGCGTAAAGTATTTGTCCAAAATCTTTTTTTTTTACACATATTTGATGGGTAGTAGAAAAATGTTTGTATATGCAATACGTGCGTGAAGCACCTTTTTTCACTCATGTGATTGTCGCACTCGCCTTCGGCTCGTGCGTCAAAATTCACATTCGTGAAAAAAGGTTCACTTTACACACTTTGTTGCATAAATGACTATTATATTCAAATATTTGTTACTCATTATTTTACAACTTTTCCAACATGTACAGGGTGTTTTTTTATATATTGACACCTCACCTACAGCCTTTACCTTTACAGGTAGATAAAAGGTGTAGGTAAATACAAAAGTTGTACAATATTGGTTAGATTTTTAGAATGTCAGAAATGTGAAATATTGCCTGCTTTCAGCTTTTTGCAAATGGGATGCGCTATATTTGGTTTCATATTCTTAAATTTCCCGACATTTAAATTTTGTTTCTGACCATGGTTTCTAAAAGTTCAGCCAAAACTGTGCAACTTTTGTATTTACAAGTTTCTTTTACCTGCAAAGGTAAAGGCTGTAGGTGGGGTGTCAATATATATAAAAAATACCCTGTACAAATAAGTGAATTATTGCGGAACTTATGAGTGGACCTCTGCGGGACGAGCGCAGCGAGTTCCGCAGCCATCTATTTACCAATAAACTGTTGAACTGTTCAAATAACACACTCACCTGAAACTTGTAGTTTTCGAACTAATGAGAAAAATTCACAACTCAGTGAATTAGGTTAGTATTGTACTTGAACAACATATTGGTGAATAGATGGCTGCGTCCTCCCACAAATTCCGCAACAATTCACTCGTTTGTACTTGAATACCTTGTCATAATATATTATTAGTTTGGTAAAGTAACATTACTAATTTCTGTTGAAAGGCAAATTGACAAAAAGTGGATAATCTTACAAATTCTGATTATACAGGGTGGGACACAAAAAACTTTCCAACCAGGTTTTATTTACTGTTAGGTGATTAATAGAAAATCGCTCGAAAATCGGTATTTTTACCCCCTACCTGTCAACCCCTAAGCGGGGGTGACAGGTACCCCCAAAATTTCAATAGAAAAGGGAGATCGAGTGATACGCCATTTAATAACTATTTCTATTGAGATTATATTCCCATAGTTTCAAGTTGCTACTATTCATTCTGTCGAAATGACACCTTGTCAAAGTTGTGTGGTTTTTTCCTCATAATAACAAAACAACAGATTTTTCAAGTGAATAAACACGAATCATTTTAAGTTGAATTGTTGAATGACAATACTTCAATGAAATATGTTGATTTGTTATTATGTGGTAAAAACCACACAGTTCAGATACTCGGAAAAAAGCATTTTTCCTAATTTTGACAAGTCACCATTTCGGCAAGGTAAATGGTAGCAACTTAAAACTTGGGGGATATACTCTTAATAAAAATATCTATCAAATTATTGCTCAAGTACAAATAAATGGATTGTTGCGGAACTTATTGGTGGACCTCTGCGGGACGAGCGCAGCGAGTTCCGCAGCCATCTACTCACCAATATATTGTTGAACTGTTCAAGTAAGACATTCATCCGGAACGTGTAGTTTTGACACTTATGAGAATAACTCACATTTGAGTGAGTCAGGTTAGTATCGTAATTGAACAACATATTGATGAATAAATGGGTCCACCCATAAGTTCCGCAACAATCCACTCGTTTGTACTTGAATAACTTGTCACATTATGTTACTAGTTTGGTAATGTGACATTCAAAGGCGCCGGCTTTCTAAAATCTGTATGGGTACTTAGCCAAGAGCGGCATAAAATAGCTAAAGGTTTATTTTTGGTGCCAAATATTAGTATATATTTTCTAACTTCTGCGGAAAGTTTCACTCTTCTGCTTGCGATTGCAGCAAGCAATCGAGTGAGGAAAATAAACTTTCTGCACGAGTTAGGAACACAATTTTTTTCTACGAGATAGAAGTTATTATTAGTATAGTATTTTTATTCTTATTTGAAACACTGCATTATACGAGGATATTACAAAATCACGTCGCTCTCTTCTATTAATTTCATAGAAAATCTATGGTAAATTTCGCTGTACAAAATATAAGCAGCCAGGAAATATCGCCCAAAATAATAATTTAGGTCAGCATGCGCCTATAGGTTGAATTATTGAGATAGGCTACTTACGTCTCCTAGCAGTGCCGTAGATACGGGGGGGGGGGTCCAGAGGCTCTGGACCCCACTTAGAGCCCCAGAGAGAAAAAAATAAAAATAAAAAATTGAAACAAAATTTTCATCTCCTCGTTTCAATATCGAAATCTAGATCTCGATATCGATGTTTTCTGAACATTGATGTATCGTGCTCAACACTACTTGCGTTTCCGATTGGTATAGATTTAGTGCAAAAAAATAGCTATATTTAGAGGACTTATTTGACAACGCAGATATAATATCAGCTGAAAGGAAAATGTGGTTTGGTAAACTATTTAAGGAAGACAATATTCCAAATAATGCAATGGTAGCATTAAGCTATCTGCTACCTATCTGTAACTCGGTCATCTTCCCCAACATGTATATTCTCTGCAAGATTCTTGCTATTCTTCCTGTTTCAATCAAAAAGTGCCGCAACCATACCTTAGGCTGAGGACAAAATGACAAATACAACGTATAAATGACAAGTGATACAAAATACCAAAAAATCGAAATTTTGCATCGTGTATCCATTTATTCTGGATTATAGCATTGATACACGTGTTATTAAATTTTTATCACTTGTACCTTGTATTTATCATTGTGTCTTCAGTCTATGTAGACAATATCAAGCGCAGGTTGAATGGTTTGGCATCGTTATCTATTAATAAAGAGTTTGTACCTTCAGCTCAAGATGTTATGGACCACTTAGCCAAAAAACCAAGAAAACTGGAATTTATTCCTTAGTTTCAGAGCCCTGGAATTAAAGAATAAAATCCCAAAATAACGGATACCAACTTCTTTATTTAAATTTAAAAGTTCGTGAATAATGGGAATTTTGGAAAAGATAATGTATTTTCACTAAATTAGTCTCGGTTGGTCAAATTGCCGCCATTTTATTCCTATTTATCCTGTCACAAATGTTTGCCTTTGGCGAATTTGCCTGCACCGCTGGACCTGGACTTCCAGGGTGAAAAGCTACAGGGTGAAAAGCTACCTACGCCACTGTCTCCCAGGGAAGGATACCAAGGTGACTGGCTGACTAGACTACTTGATTTCTATAACCAGTATAATCCCAATTTATATATCATTTGCTGTTTTATTTCACGTATTATTTAGCTGTGCTATTTGATATTGATTATTACCATTTAAAGAAATGAAAAATATGTGACGCCCATGTCCTTTATTGCCGCATAGGCGTATCCTGGCAGCCCCCCCCCCCAAGACAACTCTAGACTTTTTTTTTCGGTGCATTTTATGTGACATGTACCATTTTTTGTAAAAGAAATAGAAATAAAATGTATTTCTTTCTATGATAAGGTTTTTCTATGGGGAACGCCGAATGCAGCAAGGAAATCAGTGTTTCATCTTAATCATCCTGAATGTCTGAAATACTTCCTTCCTCAGGAGAGAAGAAGCTCCGTGAACAAAATATCTCCTCTTATAAGAAAAAGCAATAAGTAGCCCGATATGAACATTTTTGTCGCCCAGCAAAAAAGAATAAGCGCCTAACATTTGGGTATGTTACAGGTGAATTCTGACAAAAATAGGCAACTTTCAAATTTTTAAATTAATCTGTTAGTCATTTTGATACCATTTGAATACTTTCTTCCCAAAAAATGCTAATTTTCGAAAATAAAATGATTTGAAAATCGAATTTTCAAACTGCTGTGAAAACACGGGATAGGAGAGGCACGTCACTTTCCCAAACATGCGAGGATGCCGAATTTCTCATTAGTAAACCATTCCCGGCGGACATAAAACTAGTCACAACCTACGACCTAGTTTCATCCTTTACTACTTCATAAAAAAAGAAAGGACAGGTATAATCGGTGAACTCTTGCTACCTAGTACAATATTTCGGCATTTCTACATGTGGCAACAAGCGCAGGAATATATCAGCTTTAGCCAAAAGAGGCAAGGGAAAATGGGTTTTTGTATTGTGCGCTATTATGTATTCATCTGTAGTCCAGGTAAAATTTATCACCTTTCAATGCTATTTGATAGGAAAGGTGAAACATTTACCTGTACCTTTGGACTACGGATTGTGGATAGGATATATATAATATTTATCAATTAATAAGGATATTCTTTTTGTTTTCTTCGCACCTGTCTGTAATATACCTTTAACCTGTAAGTACCTACCTGTATATACCTACCAATATTAGATATTCTACTTTTCCGCACTAGTACGGAAAAGTAATGTGGAAAAGTGGTAATATCATGATCTAAATGCTTGCGGATGCGGAAAAGTGGGATTTTACGCACGCTCCTAGGAAGCTTTTGAACCCTTCTTAAACTACCCAAAAATCTACAGAAAAATTTATTTTATCAAATTATTCAACTTATACTTATCAACCTTTAAAAAATGTCTACAGAATAGGTTGTTTTTGACTGAGACTGGGATTCCCAGAAATGCAAAGTGCGAAATAGAACAACGCACCCATGGCCACCATTCAACAACCAATCGACTCGTTGATTGGACTTCCTGGATCAGACCCAAGGACATTATACACTACACAGGTTTACTCATCTGTCGGTATTTTTCGGATCATAATAGGCATTTTCGGAAATGGTGTTCCGATTAACCCGATGACCAACTAATTAAAATTGTCTTTTTTCAATAGCATTCATTGGTAATCGGGTCAATCGGAACAGCGTTTCCGAAAAGTTCTATTGTGTAGCGCTGCTTGCGTCAGCGGTTTTTTGAAGTGAAACTTCTACGCGGCAGTCTGATATTTGGACGATAATGGAAAGTGATTTGAGAATTGAAAAACGCGTCATGAGCAAATTTCGTTACTTGAGAGAGAAGAAAGATATAACGTAAAGAGACGGAGAAAGACAGCTACTGATTGATACAAACCAAGAATTAATAGCTTTGTTCCAACACACCAAAAAACCGTACAATGTATCGTCACGATTCTGCGCAAAGCCAAAAATGTGTTCGCAGAACCCGAAATTCGTATACAGAGTGGTTTCGAAACCGTTTAAGGGACGGTTTTTTATGTGTTAGAACAAACCCTCGAACAAACCTATAAGCGCAAAGAGAATTACTTACTATTGACAAGCGCCGATACCCTTATGACGTCATCACAGATGCGCGTTTCCTTTTGTTATACTATTATTATTAATATTGTGTTCTGTGATTATTTTCGTCATTTATACATTTGTGTCCTGAGCTTTTTGGAGTGAAACTTTTTAGGCAGCGGTCTGCTATTTGGACGAGAATGGAGAATGATTTGAAAGACGCGTCACGTTTTGGCAAATTTTGAAAAATATAACGTAGAGGGACGGAGAAATACAGGCAATGACAATAACAGCCGACGAACGATTGACACAAGACAAGAATTATAAACTATTAGTGTCAAAGGCCGATACTCTCGTGACGTCATTACAGGTGCGCGTTTTCCTTCGTCTTTCTTTATCAGTGACCGCCAAAAAGTTTGCCACAAATGGGAAAATATTTTATTATTAAGATATCAAAAAAAATGTTACATGGGATATCGATTCAACATACACATCAACAAAAAAATCACTGTCACAGATGTCATATGTGATCACAGTCATGGCATAATTAGAAGTGAAACTAACAAAAAAATCCAGTGCGGTAATTCTGCTTAATTGTCCCGCGACAAATTGTAAACAATCAAAAATCCATTTTCAGACCATTCTGATCTTGTTGCAATGATCTACAGAAAACAAAAATTTGGAATAACAAATTTAGAATTATCGTGAAATCTTTCTAAATGATTCAATACCTCTTTTCTAAATTAAATTAAGCCAATATTTTTGCGATAAGTTTTCGATATTTTTCAAATTACCAGAAAACAGGCCAAAAAATTGATATTTACTAAAAATCCTTGTAGCTTTTGAAAAATTGACACACAGACGTAAAATCGGATCCTGAACCATTTTTCTCTCTACAATTTTTCGATTTCTGGTCGTCCAACCCCACTTTTCACATATAAAATCAGAATTTGTAAGATTATCCACTTTTTGTCAATTTGCCTTTTAACAGGAATTAGTAGCCATCTATTCACCAATATGTTGTCAGGTTAGTATCGTAATTAGAGAACATATTGATGAATAGATGGCTGCGGAACTCGCTGCGCTCGTCCCGCAGAGGTCCACCCATAAGTTCCGTAACAATTTACTTATTTGTACTTGAATAACTTGTCACATTATGTTACTAGTTTGGTAAAGTAACATTACTAATTACAAAAGGTAAATAATCTTAGAAATTCTGATTTTATAATAATAAGTTATTATTCAAGTGCAAATAAGTGGATTGTAGCGGAACTTATGGATGGACCTCTGCGGGACGAGCGCAGCGAGTTCCGCAGACATCTACTTACCAATATACTGTTGAATTGTTCAAGTAAGACACTCACCTGAAACGTGTAATTTTCAAACTAATGAGAATAATTCACATTTGAGTGAGTCTGGTTAGTATCGTAATTAAATAACATATTGATGAATAGATGGCTGCGGAACTCGCTGCGCTCGTCCCGCAGAGGTCCGCCCATAAGTTCCGCAACAATTCGCTCATTTGTACTTGAATAACTTGTCACACTAGTTTGGTAAAGTAACATTACTAATTGCTATTGAAAGGCGAATTAATAAAAAGTAGATAACCTTACAAATTCTGACTTTATAGGTATAATAATAATAATATTTTTCGAGTGTTTTTTTTATATATTGACACCCCACCTACAGCCTTCACCTTTACAATTAGATGAAAGGTGTAAATACAAAAGTTGTACAGTATTGGCTAAATTTTTAGAATCCATGGTCAGAAATAAAAATTGAATGTCAGAAATGTGAAATGTTGCATACTTTTAGCTTTTTTTAAATGGAAGGCCCTATATTTGGTTCTATATTCTAGAAGAGCACAATTTCCTGATTTAAAACTATATAGTTGGTCTATATATGGTTGAGCCGTCTCCAACATAATCGGTTTTAAAAATTTAAAAAATACTATCAGCGAAACCAAGCAACACTAATTTTAACTGCAGCTTTCACCTGTACAGGTAGAATGGTTCACAAAATCAGTAGTAGGATAGTATTTTTACATTAAATATAGACAAACTATATATTTTTGGAATCGGGGCATTGTGCTCTTCAAGAATATAGGGCATCCCATTCAAAAAAAGCTGGAAGCATGCAAAATTTCACATTTCTGACATTCAAATTTTGTTCCGGACTATGGTTTCTAAAAATTCAGCCAAAACTGTACAACTTTTGTGTTTACACTTTTTTTCTACTTGTAAAGGTAAAGGCTGTAGGTGGAGTGTCAATACATAAAAAAACACCCCGTATACTTATAAAAAGAGGCACAAGTAATTTATTTTTTGCCATTCAATTTGTCAAAAGCACCTTTCTCAATTAAAAAGCCGTCTAGCCTTGGATTTATATTTCTTTCGTGGATGGCAAAAAAAAAATAAGCTGCTTTACTTTTCCGCAGCTTTTTTATTCTACAAATACTTACATTGTACTTTAACCTGAGCAACAGTTTCGACGATTCCCAAAGCGCTGGCAGCGATACAAGTATAATTAGCCGAAGCCTCGATTTTCTTTAGTTCCAAGGTGTTTTTGCCGATAGGTAACTTATCTTCGGGGGTGAGTTCTTCGGTGGCGCCCTTTCTCCATTTGACAAAGGGCATCGGCGATCCGACAGCTACGCACGTCAAATTAAGGTCGTCGCCCAATTTAACTTCGCTGATCGGCGGCGGAGGGATGGAAAACGAAGGAGGAACACGACGAACTGAAATAATATACCTAATTACTCTAAACTTGTTTCGACATCCAATGATGATGAGAGTAAAATGAAATTACCTTTGCACAAAAAACCTCTCTCTGGAACACAAAAATATACTCTGGCTCAATTCCGTCAGGCGTATTTATTTTTAATTAAAATCAAGAGCCGCAGGAATGAGAGCGGGGAAACAAAGAAACTACGAATGAGATAATTTCATCTTTTTAAGGATAATTTTTCAAGTAAATACTGGGGGTTTTAAAGTGGCAACATTTATGTACACATACCTTTAACGTAAAGTATTGCAAACTTTGAATAATCTGTGCCTATAGAGTTTTCAGCTACGCATTCGTATTTCCCGTGGTCTTTTTCTTCGCTGGTTTTTATTTGGAGTGAACCTGCAATAAAATAAACATTTCAGTTTTTGATATAGCTGAGACATTTTTAGCTAGAAATTTCAACCATAACAAAAACATCCTACTTTAAAAACACGCAGATCTCTTTTTTTCCTGTTATTATACCGAGGAACCATTTATCAAAAAGTGAGCAAACAAAACGGTCCCCGAGAAGAATTCGGAGCAAACAAAAAAGTTCTTCATGAACGTTTTACGTGTCAAAATAAATGAGCCTTTCTGCATAAGAAAAACCGCAATGAAAACCCCTGTGGGGGCTTGAATAAACCGTGCTTTTTACGCCTCATTGTAAATCGTTTATTTGATGAAAGTAAGTTTCCAAAAAAAAAAATAAAAAATTTAAATCCACAATATTATGATTCCACCAAGGGGCAAACCCCCTAGGAATTTTTTGCCAAAATTTTGGGGAATTGATAGGAATGTATGGGAAATTGGAGGAATTAATAAGAAATTGAGGGAATTTATTAGTTTTAATACTGGGCGTATTAAAAATAGGAAAATACATTTCTTATTACGAACAATTTTGGGGATTTTCAGGATATTTGTATCAGGCATTTGCAGGGAATTTGCGAACAGTTTGGAAGAATTTTTGGAAACTTTGGAAAAATTTGCGGGAAGTTTCAAGAATTGTTTGCACAAATTCGGAAGAGTTTTCCCTCAAACAATTTGTAAATTTACTATGACATGTAAATTGCAAATTGATACTTGAAACAATTCATGAATACAATAGCTATTATTTACCTAACAAGTGCGGAAAAATATTTTCCGCAAGTGTTAGGTACAATATTTTTCCTACAGGCGAAAAAATGTAAAATTTTTCTTTTTTTTTTTTTGACATATCAGTGCGGTAAAATTTTTTTCGCACTGACAGCCGTGCGGCAAAACTTTTTCCGCACTGATATGCGTGCGGTAAAAGTTTTACCGCACCGTGCGGGAAAACTCATTTTCCGCACCCATATCAGTACGGAAAATCGATTTTTCCGCACGGCTGTAGGAAAAAGTCATTTACATCTTTGTGTTTAAATTATTGAAAAATTCCTTTAATTATCAAACTATTTCAGGCTTTATTTTCCAAAGTTTTCAGTCAAACAATTTGTAAATTTACTATAATATGCTTCAAACCTTCCTTTCACTCTTCATTAAATTGCAAATTCATACTTGAAACAGTTCATGAATAAAAATAGTACATTATATACCTAGGTAGAGAAGTTGGTCATTATATACCTTACGCATTATAAACCTCGGCGTTTTGCGTCTCGGTTTATAAAAGCGCTCGGTATATAATGACCAACTTCTCTACCTAGGTATATAATGTACTATTACTAATCAAACTATTTCAGGCTGTATTTTTTAAAGTTTTCACCAAAAAATAGTTTCTTGTTCAATATTTAATGCTTAAATAAATGAAAGAGCCCATTGCTATTTTGGGTAATATCAGTCTTCAACTAGTTATAGGTCCAGTCGCCAATTCCAAACTGAAATAATGTCGCTTTAACAACAATAAAGGCCCAAACTAAAACTGAGTATTAACGAACGGCAAATTATTCGACTGCATTTAATAATTCAAAGCAGATGGAGCTTGGGAAATTCCCTTTAGAAATGCGAAAGTTTTGTAACTGCATTGAAAATTTAGGAACCATTTTGGCAGTTGATTAACTTGAATCGAACGATCCCCTATCAGTTTTTACCGAGGGGGAAGTCACCCATAAAATTTTGTACACTGAAATTCCTCTAAATGGAAATTCCTTGAAATTCCGTGCAATTCCTTATAATTCCACACAATTCCTCGCAATTCTTGGACAAATAATTTTATGTTTGAATAACCTTTTTGCAACTGACGTTTTCAATTAAAACAGAAGAAAATTAACCCACTCGCTAGGGCTCGTGGGTTAAACTTTCTTCTCATGAAAAAACATTCATTTAACTCACTTGGTGTATAAATAACTATAATTATTGTAATTCTGTTGAAAAGTACAATGTATGTCAGGTCGATAATCAATTATTGGGTACTCACATTAAAAAAAAATAAATTTTAAACTATAACATCCGATTTTGTAAGCAAATGTTGATCCTTCGACTTCTGACCAATAGGAATATTCATGTGGTTAACTGTTGCTTCAAACTTGCCTATGGGTAGCTTTATTCTGGATTTAATTTTGTTTTTATATCTGTATAGTGTTGATAGGGATGGTAGAATATTATTCATGTTAGTGTGTTAGGTTTCATAAAATAGTTTGCCTCCTGAGTAAAACAAATACAAAGCAAATTTTTTGAAATTATGGTCATATACACGGTATCCACTTAGTGCGATATCGGACGATATCTCCTTAGAGGGTGATGCAAGAAAAAAATTAAATTACAAAGTTGTTTGATACTTTAATAGGCATTAGTTAAGAATATTTTTGAATACAGGTGAGTTAATGAGCCATATCTCCTATACTAACGGAGATCGAAGAAAAAACTGAATACAAAACTTGTAGATAAATATGAGTAGGTACTACATTCCTAAATTATTTGCCAGTATACAGGGTGGCCCAATAAGTAGTGGTTACACAAAGCTATGTGTTTTCAAATGGCTCCCCCTGTTTATTATGGCATTTCTGGATTCTGCGGAAAATTCTAGACATATTTCATGTACGATGTCATATACCTATCTTCAACTGTTTCGAAAATATTGACAGTTGAAAATTGACTATTTTGCATCTTTTGACAGACTGTAAAACTTGAACGGTTAATTTTACAGCGAAAGCGATCATACATTCTTGTCTTAGTTTTTCATAAACTATCATTTGACACCAACTTTAACCAATGATTAAAAATTCCGCTTAAATTATTAATCTACGGTTAAATTCAAAGTTAGTGTCAAATGATAGCTTATGAAAATCCAAGCTAAGAATGTGAAATCGGTTTTCCTCTAAAATTAACCGTTTAGATTTAACAGCCTGTCAAAGTTGCAAAAAGTCAATTTTCAATTGTCAATATTTCCGAAACAGTTGAAGATAGGTATATGACATTGTACATGAAATATGTCTGGAATTTTCCACAAAATCCAGAAATGTCATAGTATACAGGGGGAGTCATTTAAAACAACATAACTTTGTATCACCACTTCTTGTTGGGCCACCCTGTATAGTGGAAAATAATTTAGGAATATAGTAATGTTATCTACAAGTTTTGTATTTATTTTTTTTCCCCGATCTCCGTTAGTATAGGAGATATGGACCATCGCGCGTTCACTAACTTACCCTGTATACAGGGTGTTCTGTTTATGGGTTATGCAACAGAATTTTGTTATTTTAAATGGAACACCCTTTATATGATTGCATATTTGGATTCTACGTGAAATTCTGAGCAGATTTCATGTAATATAATATCTTTTTACCTAAGTCAACTGTTTTGGAAATATTGACATTTGAAAATTGACTTTTTGCAATTTTTTACAGACTGTAAAACCTAAACGGTTTAGGTTTTACAGCCTGTCAAAGTTGCAAAAAGTCAATATTTCCAAAACAGTTGAACTTAGGTATAGGGTATATTACATGAAATCTGCTCAGAATTTTACGTATAATCCAAATACGGGTGTCTCACGGTGGATGGCGTATTAGACGTTAATGGAAAACTAAAACGCGGATCATTTTGAAAATTTGGCAACCAGGATAAACGACCATGAGCTACATACACTTTAAAAATATTTTTGTTTATGCAGTATTGCCGCTTCTACTCTAAACCAGTGGCACCATCGCCATTTTAAATGGAACACCTTGTATGTGATTGCATATTTGGATTCTACGTAAAATTCTGAGCATATTTTATGTGATATACCCTATACCCAAGTTCGACTGTTTTGGAAATATTGACAGTTGAAAATTGACTTTTTGCAACTTTGACAGGCTGTAGAACCTGAACGGTTAATTTTAGAGGAAAACCGATTTTACATTCCTATCTTAGATTTTTATAAACTGTTATTTGGCATCAACTTGGAATTTAATCCATGATTAAAAATTCCAATTAAATTTAATCTCCGGTTAATCAAAGTTGCGAAAAGTTAATTTTCAACTGTCAATATTTCCAAAACAGTTGAACTTAGGTATAGGGTACATCACATGAAATCTGCTCAGAATTTTACGTAGAATCCAAATATGCAATCACATACAGGTGTTCCATTTAAAATAGCGATATTGCCACTGGTTTAGAGTAGAAGCGGCAACACCGCATAAACAAAAATATTTTTAAAGTGTACCTAGATTATGGTCGTTTATCCCGGTTGCCAAATTTTCAAAATGATCCGATTTTTAGTTTTTCATAAACGTCTAATACGCCATCCACTGTGGGACACCCTGATGTACATTTTTGACAGTGTGGTTAAGTTTTTGTGTACAACAATTTTTGATGATACCTCAAATTCCTTAAATAAGCTGCCCTTTAACGTAAAAGCAAATCTGGTCTGGTTTTGAGGTTAGAATTCATGAAAAATGACTAGCGATGCAACGTTGCCAGACAGCAAGGGAACGGGGTTTAAGCACTTTGAGATGAATGTATGTATACCTATGAAAGTATATCCGAGAATGTATCACTATAAGCTAAATCTTTAATTACACAATAGATGTATCACTGGCGTAGAACTGAACAAGGATTTGAAAATGTCTCTTCACTTTATGAACACACTCTCTGATAAATACTAAAGCAAAGTATTTTTTGGCTCACATAATATAAAGTATATAATCATGGCTTCCAGTATTCTTTCTGGAGCAGTTATAAAATGATACTCAAGTATTTTACCTTTTTATGTTGGAAAACGTTCGGCAAAGGTTCAAAGTGACAACATTTCCACGCAAACCCTTGAAATTCCTCAAAATTCTTTGAAATTCCTCGCAAATCCTAGAAGATCCCCGCAATTCCTAAAAAATCCTTGCAATTCCTAGCAACTCCTCAAACTTCCTTGCAATTCCTTGAAATTACGTACACTAAAATTCCTAGGTGATTTC